GATCGGGATCACGGGCGCGATGTACTCTTCCACGGTGTGCTTCGACGGGTGGCACCTGGCAGACCGCGCCCTGCATATACAATTTGTGTCACATCGCCAGCTTAACATATACTTATTATAATAAGCATATAATAAGTAAATGTACTGAATTAAAAACATCGAAAAAAGGTAAGAACGTCGCATTTCATTTCTCATTGTGAGTTGTTTTCTAATTTATCCAAATGTGTAAAATTACTGAAAACTGTTTCATTTAGTTATGTTACTATTGTTATAACCGACCAGATTTGCATGAGCTGTATGCAGCTCGGCAGGTCCTTGGTAAAGTATGCGGTCAGCTCCGCGCGGCATCTCTTCAGGGTGTCTACGTGCTCCATGTCGCACCTAAACACAAAATATTATTACCGATCAGAATTCCTATCCAAATTAAAATCAACATTGCAACTAATCAAGCTACAATACTCTGTAAGACTCGGCGCAACAAATGGTTTTAATGTCATACATAAATTGCTTTTTACCGTGTTCTTCAATTACACTAATTGTAAATTAGGTGTAGTAGTGTACTAGTTGAACTGAAACATGTCATCCGCCATCTTGTTACGGCGGCCATTTTGGGTTAACAATAAATAACAATGTCTCTGATTGTAAACAATTGCATTGTTGTGACTGCGCGAACTTAATTGTGAGCAGTTAAAAAATTAAGATTTCTTAATAAACTTCTTAGTCATTTAATTATTTTCAATTGTTTGGAAAATTAAAGTCATAATCGAACTCATGAAAAGTTGAAGACAAAGGAATTCTGGTAAGCTTTAGTGCGCATGTCCTGCGACCTAGCCCGGGATGACCGGACCCCGCGCATGCGCCTTGCAGCTCGAGTTACATCCCTGGACGCTGCAACGCGCATGCTCCAATTATGCTTCATCGATTACCCTCTGTCTGTGTACCGCTCCCCCGCCCTTGTGCGGGGAAAGATAGCCATTTTGTTTTTATAAATTATATACTTTAAGTATTGAAATATCAGCTGTAATTCATGCACACAAAGCATACCAACGTTATACCAAGCTAAACATAGCTATTGTACAGATAATGTAAACTAATATCAACATTAATATACTGTTAAGTAATCAGAGCATCAAAAAATTATCAATCTTACGTGGGTATCGTGGGTGGTTTTTCAATAGAACTCGGCATTTTCCAGTAGTCCTTCTTACATCAGGCAACACAGACACAAACAATATAGATACTGGTGTATCTGTACGTAAAGAATACGCGCACGTCCGTCTCAAGTGGATCCCAACGCCGAACTAAAGTGCGGAGTGGTGCGGGAGCAGTGTTGCCAGTGAATATTTTTAACCTAGCATTTTACATTGGGTAAAAGCCTTATGTTTATAATAAAAAAGAAACTAGATTTAACATTAAGACAAATGATGTTGTTTAATATTTTAAGGCAAATAAAGCATCAAATTTCTTATCTGTATCGGGGATAATAGAATAATGGAATTGAATTAAATAAAGCCTCTAAATCATTGTTACTCAATGGCCTTTTTATTTTATATTTGTATATTTCAAAAGTGAAGTAGCAATTGCTACGACCTCAGGATTCCGTAGGCCACGGATTTTGTAACTTATTAGCCTGAAAGCCGTAAAATATGGTAGTTGTCGTAGCACTGGCAACTCTGTAGCCATAGGTTGCCGCGGCCACGCCCCGACCTCTACGATACGCATGCGCACTAGAAAATATTGATTTTCCCTTATCCAGAGGCTCCAGACAAAGAACGTTCGAGAAAGGAGCCATCGTGTATTATGTATTTTATACAAATTATTTATTTTTAAAGGTCGGAAAGTTTATAAACCGTTTTATTACTAACAAGCTGCTGCTCGCGACTTCGCCTATGTTATATGTTATATATAGTCTATGTTACCCACAGATAAATTACATTTCTAATGGTGAAAGAATTTTCAAAAATTGATTTCGAAAATCGGCCCAGTAGTTTTTGAGTTATTCCAATACATACAAAAATACAAATCTTTCCTCTTAATAATGTTAGTATAGATATGAGTAATAACATGGTTATTAGTAAACAATATGGTTAAGACGGCCCTGAGTAGCACATAATGCCCTCAAAATGGCGGACAACATATTTTTGTACTTCTCCAACATCCGAATCTAATGAGAAGACTTGTCTCAAACGGGAAACAGTACTCCTTAACAGACAGACGGTTATAATTTGGTCGACATATGTAAGTTTTAAACTATCGGTTGATACACTCATTTGTGACAAATTTAACTGAACATTCGAACAAGTCAGTTAAAACTAAACGTATGCAGCGGGCTTTTAAGTATAGTTAAATAAGGATGTCTAGCCCGGTGAGAGTCGCCGCGCTCGGCTGGTTCTGTCACGACGTATGTAAGAAGTAAACTGTGATGACTGGCGATCAAGCATCAGGAAATATTTTGTACCCTATGTTAAGAAAATATTGTCCATCAACTATCCTTTGAGCCGTTCTCGAGAAACCTTCTCGGAAATCAGCCTGCGTACTAACTACTTCATTATTTCAAGTAAACAAACGCTCCCAAAAGACATAAATACATGTTTCTAAAAGTGACAATTTAGTAGCATACGACATGGTTTGGCGCACAGCTTTCTTCCCGCTCACGCTAACGTCAGCGTGTGCTGAGATAGGAAAGTGTTTCATGCCTTAAACATTCTACGAAGACGGCTGTAATTCCAAAAAAATAAACGAAATGTATTGCCTAAGACAGAAATCTAACTCAGATATTGTTTAGTAATTAACGTAGTTACATGGACATTATAAGTAGATATAATAAAGCAAATGACAATTGTAGCATTAAATACTTGATGGAATGGATAGGAAAGGTACGAAGTCAGCGAGTGTATGTGCGCAAGCGCCTTGTTGGCGAAGCCCAACGCCGATTTGCGATGCAATCAAGGGAACGTTATATAAAATAAAATAAAGTATACAAATAGGGCGCGCACAGCTTAACATAATCTGAAATAAATTAAAAACAATATTCGCTTTTAAATAACTTAATATTACACACAACTTATTAGTTTAACACATAAAAAATGCCTTTGAAAAAATTACAAATAATCGGAGTGACCCACGCTATGAAAAGAGACTATTTCTTATGGGCGTTCTTAAGAGACATAATTCCTTTTGCCACACACCCCATCCGTCCGGCTGGCACAGAACCCAGCTCCCAATGCAATGCACCCCCAACCCCAACCCCCAACCTTTGTCGGCTTGCTAGGAGCATGCGCTACGCCGCGCCGCGTTTCACCTTTCACCATCCACATTGCTATCACCTTCATTGATTCTTTTCAAATACCCAACACACCTAATAGACCATTTTGGCAAACCTTCCAGTGACACTTTATTTTATATTATATTAGATATTAAAACTAAACCTATTACATAAAACTTTTCAAATTGGTAATTAAAAAAAGGATATTTTTAATAATAGTTAAAGTAAGCGTTATTTTAAAAGTTGTTCTTTTAAAATGTCTAGATCTTTTACTGATCACTGAATGACCGCTACATGACCGCTGTATGTCAGCTATATGTCCGCTATCTCCTAAGATACAAAACGGTTTAAAAACGGCAATTGATTTCGGATGGTTAACATTTACGTCAAAAACATTGGGTATTAGTAAACATTAGTATAACTATTAAAGAAATTTCACACAATATCCGTAAAACGTTTATTGTTTCAGAAAAAGTAAAGTACGATAGGAAACATATGAGCAAGTCTAAACTTTGTATAAACTCAAAGTAAAATCAATGTCAAAAAGGTTCATGATATCGCTAAACTCTTCCTTAAGATTCGCCACCGCCACTTCCCAAGATTCTCTGGTGTCGGCGGTATCCGGTTCTACCAGAATCTTTATTTCATTAAGCTCTGAAACATAAAAATGTTTAGTTGGTAAACCGTTGATGAGTGCGTGTCCCTTCCTTTACCTTATTTGTTTATTTATTTATAAGGTACACCAATTGCCAACTATGTCATTAACAAAAGCGAGGAATAATACAGGTGCGATGTGCGATCCTTGAGGTAACAGCGTATGATTCAAGTTAGCTCCAGGGACTACGTTTTTCTTACGATTCATCAGATAAGAACGATGCCAAAGTAAAAAAGATCCGTGTATGCCGTAACTGAATAACATTTCAGTAAAATATCATGGTTTACTTTGTTAAACGCGCTGCTAAAATCAGAAGACAAAGCGCCGACTTGCAATTTAGAATCAACTTCCTTGGAAAGATCATTTACGTATAACGCCAAATTACTCACTGTTGATCGCTCGCTCTAAAAGCCATGCTGTTGTGTTACCTTAAACAAAGAAGGGAAGTGAATCGCTCACTATAACAGACGCCGCAGGCGACTAGCACCAGCATGTCCCTAAGGTCCGGCATTTCCACCGCGCCCACAAACACCAGCCGCACCAGCTCCGGCAGCCGCT